GGCCTCTGCAATGTACTTACTGGTGCTTCAGGTTTCTGTGGTGCTGTAGGATTCCCCACTGAAGTCAATGGCAAAAATCCCCCTTTCAATCAAACAGGAGCTAGATTCTGCAGATTATACTCACTCTGAATAATCCTAATTAAGTCCAGGGGAGTGCACACAGGAAAGATACTACTGTGGAGTAAGGAACCACTCAACCCGAGTAAGCCTAGCAGAACCTGGGTGGTAATGAGGCTCTCTGCTGTGCATTCTGGGCCACTCCTGGCCTTCTATTCAAGCTGTGTCTAATCCACAGCGTAACTCGGGCTGCAACTGGGGTTGGAGAAGTCAGTTTCCAGTTGGAAACGCCAGCTAAACTGCTCCAAGCTTCCAAAGCGATTGGCAAACAGCATGTGGCGGCTTAGAACCAAAGTCAGCCTATCTGTAGGCATTTGCCCCAATCAGTATTCAGGCATTTTAAACACTGCTAACATTTACCAAACTTGCCCTATTTTATTTCAGGCCTTTAATGGAAAAGCTATTACGCTCTACCCTCAGTACATGATGAACCTTCAACAGCCCCCTACTGCTTTCCTGTATTATTCTGCACTTCCTAGGCAAGGGGAGAAACCACCATCTGTATGGCATTGAAGTTCAGCGTTCAGACAATCAAATCTCCTGACTACAAACTGAAACTCCAGCTCCCTGGCTCTATTCTGATAAGCCAACACATGCCATAATCAACCATTCCCTCACTTGAGAGCTAGGGTTTTAACATAAAAGAGCAATATCTGCTCACATTTCAGATTAGAGGAGAACCCAACGCATACAGGCAGTAATGCAGTTCTATCCCACTATTCAAGGAGTGAGGTTTGCTAATTATGAAGTCTCTGAATGAAAGATAGATCGTACTAACAAAAGACAGCAAAACCAAACGAAGTACCCTGGCCATATGCACCACCCATGGCAAAAATGAGCCTGGCACACAGGGCATTTATTGGGGATTAAATGGATTTAAGCAAAAAAGAGAACTGGATACTATGCTCGTCAAAACTAATACCTGAAGACATTTGATTCCAGCTGCTGTGCTCATTCATGGCTTGCTTATATTTTCATTTAGCTCAAAGAATATCAAGGACTTTTTAAAAGGATGTGCAACTGAACTTGGTCAACTCATCAATATGCATTCAGAAGGACTAGTCATCCCTTGTTACCTTCCCATTTCAGCTAGTACTCCCCAGCAACTGCCTTCATTGTCACCTCCACTCACCATCGCTGACCACGTAGCATCCTCTAACTTTCGGGTCTCTTAGCGGCTTGTACTCAGCTATGTTACCTACCTACTATCATCTATGGAGACACCTCTCTCCAAGCGGAGGATTTTAGGCCCCTGGCTCTGCTTGTGGGTGCAATGGGTCCCCCTGTACAACCAGTTGCAGGATCAGGGCCTCAGTCTCGAGCATTCCCCTCACTTATTAGAGCATTCTAAAAAGCCCTTTAAATGGCTTTCGGCCATTTCATTTGACTTTGCTAGCAGGTAGTTTCAGAACCAGCCCATTTGTAGAGCTCTAAACAAGACAGCAAGGAAGCTCCACCCTTTAACAGCTTTGGGTTAATTCAGAGACCCAGAATGAGGAACATTACCTTCCTCTTAGCTCAGAAAACCACAGAGCTATTGAATCTGTTCCTCAACCACTTGTTCTGACACACCAGCAACTTTGCTTTTGCAGTTTGTCTCCTTGTAGAGCAAGCCCAGAGGGCCTTCCCTTTAACCTAACAGTGCTCACAAAGCAGCTACCACAGCATGCAGGTAACTTGCAGGGGTTCTTGATTTCATGCATTTCAGCTATAGGAGAAAGTTCTGGTGAGTGCCTTTATGAAAATCTTGCCAAGGCAGCTCTGTTGTTGGCTGTGTGTTTCGTGAGCGCTAGCTACACAAAGTCACTAAATCTAAGGCCTCACAAGAGCTATGTTAGGACCAAGTTTAAAAAATATTTCAGGGAAGGACCTAGTCACCTGCACAACATACACAGATATACATGTTAAAGTTGATGGACTCCAAAGTGCACTCTTAATATTCAGATTTACACCCTGATTTTGTTGACATGAGGCAAAATTAAAGTTTCTGGCTCAAATCCTTCCTTATGCAGGCCAGAACCCAAACCCTGCAACTCCAAGATTTTTAATCCCTGGATCACACATTAACTACTACCTCCTACTTAGATGAGTCACTTACTCCCCAAATTTCCAAAAGTGACCTCTCATTTTGGAATGGCCAATTTGAAACACTTAGGGCAAACTACCAGCATTTAGAGGGTTAAGAATGTCATTGCTTAGAAGCTAGTGAATGTATAAACCTACATTCAGTATGTTGCAGTGCAGCTACTGTGCACAGGCTGAAATTCTCTGGCTGGTAAACCTGTTTCACAGCCAATTTCTACTATGATCCAAACTATAGAGCTCTGCTGCATATAGGGAGAGGAGGGGAAATATAGGGCTTTTAATAAACCAATGGATTCGTGCAATGAAGACAGGCTGCACCACAGAGCTATGCAAAACAGAGGAGGATTCTATCCTTCTGGTACGTAACTTTCTGTACAGCATACACAGGGTGTTATCCCATAGTCCTTTGGATGTTAAACCAGTGTAATTATTGTACACGTCCAATGAGCCATGCGACTGAGTAAGAGCAGTCAAACACAGGACGCTGACAAGTAACAGCACTTATGAGTGCCTTTACATATAGAATTAATTTATCAGGATTCCTGACAGGTTTGAAGGTTCGTTTTACTTCACTTCAAGGTTGAGGAGGGGGCAGAAGTAGAGGAAATGTATGAACCCAGGTTTGAAAAACTGTACTCAGCCTAGTTCAGAAAGCTTTTAATTAGATATGTGGATGGCTATTCCTATCTCCTACGAGTATGCAGACACTCAAGAACCCACAATGCCCTCCAGTGTTCACAATCAGCATTAAAAAAGTCCAACATGAAGAAAACCCAAATCCTATAGTTTAAAATCATAAGCTTCCTCAAAGAAAAGTATGCCTAATAATTGTAAAAAAGTATGAAGATGTAGAACAGATGAAGGGGGAAGACCAAATTCTCACATGAAAACAGGTGACAGTGTTCTTTTTCTATAGATCAATACACTGTAATCACATTTATTACACAGTACTGTAGTTTCACTTGATAACTTGTTCATGAACATCTGCTCAAACACAGTTTAGTGTGCCGGAATACTGGCAGATATTGGTATCAGACAAGAAGTATCCAAAATAGCAGCGGCTTTTGTTTTGCCAGGTGATTAAACCCCCCAAAAAGACCTAAGGGAGGAAACGTTTAAAAAAACCTCCTAAATCGCCTTTGAAACCAAATTAAGGGCCTGAATTTAATACCTTTAAGTCAAAGTCAAGACTCCGATGGATTTCAGTAGACAGGACACTGGCTCTAAGCCTACAGTTCAGGAAAGCATCTGCTTAAAAATTAAGCAAAAATGCTTCAACACTACCCTGAATTGGGACCACAGAAACAGAGCCAAGTCGTGCAATTTGCCGAGCACCCTGAGTGGGAGCTGAGGGTGTCTTGCATGGTGCAGAGTCAGATCCTTAGATTGCATCTCACCTGGGCTCTGCCTTAATATCCTCTCAGCACCATTTTGCTTTTGATGAAATATTTGTTTGAGTAGCACCGCAGATGTGAATCTCTGCCCTCCGGAACTGCAATACAGGGAGAGGAGGAAGTGGCTGCTATGAAGATAAAAATACGCCAGAGGTATGTGGAAGCAGTGGTGGCATTAGACTATGGAGTAAAAGCATACAGAATGATCTCAGGTACTTTATTTTCAGTTGCTAGGTTAGCTAGCTTCAAATATAGATCTGCGTTGAAGACTTAGGACAGTGACTTGCTTTCAAGACACTAACAACGGCATCTCTGTATGATCTTTCCCTGTTAATTGTTCCCCAGGTTCAACAAATATGTAAAATGTATTTCTCATCACAGTCTGGCTCACCCACAAACTATGGAGAGAAGTCACAGTAAAATAGAGTTCCCTGATACATGACAATGTTAATACAACCCACAACTAAAATGAACTTTTGTGCTGTTAGATCACAAGCTATCATTCTGAATCTTGGAAACCTCTGAAGTCAGTTTGATGGCGTTTCCATTTATTTGTTTTTATTTAAAAAAAAAGTATGGTATGTTTGAAGTCAAGAAATAGAGGGAAATACCTGGAAAACAATTACATGTTTCCAAACGTTAAGTGCAACATACATAAAACAAGACGGAGTCAGTGACGGAGAAAGGAGAGAAGCCTGGAAAGCTGACCAAACCCAGACTGACACGCAATCCCGACTATGGTCAACTCAGCAGCATGATGTCTAGAACTCAAGTAATACATCATTGGCAGACATGATCCCTGAAAGAAAAAAACCAAACAAAAAACCCCAACAGCAGAGCCAGCTGGGTACTATGCCCTCTGGACTTCCAAATGGGAAAAATAAAGTTCTGTGAGTGATAGCTCTCCAAACAGCTAAAATATCAGGATGTGGTGTTGCCTACTCTTGAGAGAAGTTTTCATGCTTCAATGTTTAAAAAAATATGTATGTTATGCTCTGGGTGGAAAAAAAGCCATGAAAAAGTAAACAAATTTTTTAAAAAGCTTGTTCTTACTTTGTAGGACTTCTTAAATAAAACTGGAATGCTTTTTAAAAGAAGTTATTTGATGTAACTTGAACCTCTCACATTCCCTTCTGTAGTCCTGTCCCTGCTGTAAAGATTAGTTGGGTCTATTTTTGTTTAAATGGCACAGTAAAAATGTGGGTTTAAAAATCGACTTTGTTAAATATTTGCTGGAGTGGGGGAAATGTGGGAGGTACTACAAAGATGGCAAGTCGAAGTGAATGCATGGGTCTTCTTGCGTGGATCTTATGTAGCAGGATTAGGGCAAACATTTCTTTCAGATTTGTTGAGCTTTCTGTTCTCTACCTGCAAGAAGTTCTATGCACACCCCCATAGCAGGCTATGGCTATACTAGGGAAATGAAGACTCAAATTCATCATCAATGCAGCTACCAGCGGTGGATAATTACAGGTCCCCAATTTCCCTAGCCTACATACAGGGATACACAAGGTTGCAAAAAGAACTACTGTCCTCTCTATTCCACTGAAAGTTGCCTGGCTTCCCATTTTCTTAGTATAGACACAGCCTGGCAGGGTTAGAGGATACTGATGTAAAAGTGCCCGTGTCTTATCTTCACTAGAGCTTACACTCCTGGAGCTGCACCTGGGCAGAAAAACGCAATGACGTATCCCAGCGTCGACACATCCCCTAAGAGTAGTGAAGTCAAGCTCTGCCCATACACACTGAAGACAAGAGTTGCCACGCAGATCCGAGAGGACATCTTCACCCTACGGTCCCTTCAGTTCTTGATTCCTTTCCATCTAGAAGCTCCACTTTGCTTATTTTAACCAAAGCCATATAAATACATATTATAAAAAAACCCAGAGCCCCACAAATGCGAACATTTACAAGGAAAGGAAAAAACAACAGTGAAACGAGGCCTTGTTATTGTCTTAAGTCAGGCGAGCTGGGATTTCCTTGAGGGACTTGCCCTCTTTTTCAGTCCTGTTCCAACTGCCTGGATGCCTATGCGTCCTCAGAACTGGCCAACATACCCTTATCAACAAGGTGCGCCTTTAACGTGTTGAAGATGTGGACCTGCTGGTCTGGCCGTAGAGCTAAAAGCTGCTGGATCAGTTTGCTTGGGTTAGGACCCCTGCAACAAACCAAAGAAAGAACTGTTTGCAATGAATCCTAACTCCAGGATCTGGTCGTCTGGGCTCAGATTCAGCAAAGCACGTGCCTAACTTCAAGCGTCCTTAAACAGCATCCCCATCCCTCAGCATTTCACAAAGGGGACAAACCTCATTCCCCCACCTCCATTTTACAGGTGAGGAAAGAGAGACACAAGGAAGTGAAATGTAAAATAGAGTCTTTAATTTCCAATCAATGGAAGAAATTATTCTCCTCCTCCATTAGAAGGTCCCCATAAATTCAAATAAAACAACAAAATGTCCCTCCAGACCAGTGGTTTTCCTTTCCATTCAGTTATAAAGCTATCTGCCAAGGCCCAAACTAATGGGAAAGAGTTATTCCTTAGTATATGCTCTGGTGAGCCCAAAAGGAGAAGGGAAGCAGGGATCAGTGGACAGGAGACAGGACTGGAGTTCAGGAAACACGGATGCTATTCCTGGCTCTGCCACCTGCCTGCTGTGTGACCTTGGGCGAGAGACAATCTCCCAGTCTTTTTCCCCTCCTGCCCCATGTCTTGTGTATTTAGATTTTAAGGTATCAGAGTCGCTCAGTTGCGGCCACTAAGTGCTGCCCTGAAGCAATAAATAATACCTGATAAAACTTGCAATGTACACGTTGACAAAGGTAGCCATCAGGTACTGACAGTCAAAGCGATCCATGATCCCGCCGTGCCCTGGGATTGTGTTGGCAAAGTCCTGTGCAATCATAAAAGTTTCACTGAGCTATGCCAAAAACCTGTTATCTACATTTACTGCATACATGTAGTGTGAACGCACTGCGTGACACTGCATTCTCCCAGAACATCTGCCGATAGCACTAAACGCAGCCTAAGGACGCTGTTCATCCCCCATCCCCAAAATTACTTTTTCACCCAGCAACACTTCTTGCAAACAAGTGTTAGGGGGGAGGGGCATAGCTCAGTGGTTTGAGCATTGGCCTGCTAAACCACTGTGAGTTCAATCTTTGAGGGGGCCATTTAGGGAACTGGGGTAAAAATCTGTCTGGGGATTGGTCCTGCTTTGAGCAGGGGGTTGGACTAGATGACCTCCTGAGGTCCCTTCCAACCCTGATACTCTATGATTCTATGATATCAGGACTGAGGAGCAGGAAATTCCAAAGAGGTTAAAGTTTTATCATCTAAAACCCTGCCCCACTGAGCATCCTGTATGTTATGGTATAAAAGGTTTATATTTACATATAAAGGACCCTGTGCATGTGCAATGTGTTGGAGAAAGCTTCAGCTTGTGGAATTTCCTGATCTGCAGGTACTCAGTTTCTCAGCCTCAATGTTGCATCAATGCTAATTTTAGCATTTCACTGTTGTATTTTATTAACCCATCTTTCCACCCTCCACTCCACATGAGAAGAGCCCTCCTCTTTCCCCACAATATGGACAGAAGCCTCCTCCAACCCCGCCATCCTCTGACCTGGGGCATTGTTTACGGTGGTGACAATCAAATGTGCTAGCTTCAGATGCACCGGCTGTCTGATACCTGACTTTGGCGGAAGGGGGCTACTCATACACTACCTTGATTTTGAAGGCTCTCTTAAACCCACTAGCAAAGAATCCTCCAAAGGGCCCAATGAGGGATGCAAAGGTGGAGAGGGCGATGCTGTGGATCTGGAAGGGATACATCCGGACTGTTTTCTGCAGACAAGGAGGGTCAAAGTGGGAGAAGGTTCAGAGAAAGGCACTGTGCTCCATTGAAATCTATTCTAACCCTGCCTTACTGGAGTCCAAGGTCAAGCTTTTCAAATGACTAGTGACTTTGGAAGGCCAACTCGAGGTGCCGGGTTTTCAGAAAGTGCTGTGTATCTGCCCTCAAACTCAGGCCCCTTCAAGGCACTCCAAGTTGGGCACCCGAAATATGTAGTTGCTTTTAGAAATCTTGACCAAGGTGTTGATCACCTCTATTAAAACCCAATTCTGCAAAGACGAATCTCATACGCAGACTGTACCACAATTCACCCCTGCTTGACATCAGAGCAAAGCCAGGGATATAGCTGGCCCATTTTGTCACTGTTTCCTTGTATTCCCCCATCTGTCTGTATCCATCTGTTGTCTCTTGTCTCATACTTGGGTTGTAAGCGGCTTGGGGCATGGATTGCATTTGTTGTGTGTATATACAGTGCCTAGCACCGTGGGGTCCTGTTCTATGATTGCAGTGCCTAGGTACTCCTGTAATCGTCTCCCTATTTTGCTACATCACTTCGTTTGCATGCAGAGCCCTTTTTGCTTCATAGAAAGTCGAGCTGGAAGAGACCTTTCTTGCCCACCTCCCCACCTCTATCAGGGTACGATTGTTCCCTACAGTATGTTCTCCTGGGCTCTGTCCAATTTAGTCTTAAATAACTTAAGAAATCTGGCTTCCATCACTTCCCTTGGGAGATTATTCCATGGTTTAACCAGTCTCGCTATTAGGGGAACATCTCCGAATATGAAGTTTTCCTTGGTCAGTTTCATGCAGTTATCCCTTGCTGCATTCCTTTGTAGTACCTTAAACTAATCCCGTCCTTCCTGGGCATTTCCAGCCCAGTTAATGTATCCCTTTTTAATGGCTATTGCCAACCTATCCATCATTGAGAATGCACATTCAGAGTCCTACCCAGCGAATGACAGACTGAATCACCAGAGGGATATTATATTCTTGTAGCTGGAACAGCTCAGATGGCTCACAATCCACAGTGAAGCTGTTGGAGTCATTATTGAATTCCACGGGACAGGTGAAGCACCGGTATCCAGACATCAAGTACGACAGCTTGGTTGTGGGAAGAAGAAAAGGCAAGTCAAGAGAAACTAAGGATACAGGCAATTTAAAGTTCATACCTTTGCTTGGTTGGTTATTGAGAGGGTGGGCGTTAGGCTGTGCAACTCCCTCCCCAGCTCTGGTCATTTCTCCCTACACACTCAGCTACTGAAAGGGTTTTTGCTATGGTCTCTCTTGGCCCCATATTTATTGCTGTCCCTCCTTCTCATCCTTGATTTCTCCCTTCCTAAGCATCCTCGTTTTTTCTCCTTCCCCTCCACTTCTGAATGTTATTTCCCCCCCCCCCCCAAACGTCCTTCAATCTGTTTATACGTTGCAACATGTTAAAATACGGCAATGCACCAATAGTAGAAAATTCAGATCTGGGCATGCATCCCCCTCATCAGATGGCTCGGATACAAGCCTTACCCATTCACCTGAACGCTGGAAGGAGGAATGACACCCTCTGAGAGAGAGAGCGGAGATTCAGGGCTGCGAGCCAGCCACATCCTTGGTTCATTAAGAAGCTTACTCTCTTGCAAAGCATTAAGTTGACTAGAGGCATGGTAAGCGGCTTCTTTTCATATACATCAGCTCGGAAGGCAGCAATCAGAGTAACTGCATGATCAAGACAGAGCAGACAGCTCTATCCAGCCAACTTGCATTAATAAAATCCTTCCTTAACAGATCACAACAGCCTGACAAATTGGGACAGTCCTTGAACTTTTCAGTCTTCATCTGAATTACCCAGCTCTCTCTGGGCTTTATGCAACTGCACAGATATTAAATGTGGCCTTATCCCCCCCTCTCCCCACCCCCAAAAAGTCCCACGGGGGATAACGTTCTGCGACCAGAGCGCTGAGCTCCCCACACAACCTTGAGGCAGATACTACAGAAGTGTAGCAGAGCAATCACTTCAGAGGATCCCAAAATGCTTTGCCAACACGACAGCACCCACTGAAATGTTGCAACCTCCAGCATGCACAGTGGTAGTAGGCAAGAGGAAAAATCTAAGCCTAGGACACGAGGGCCAAAACACTGTTGTTACAAAGAGCGCCATGGCAAATCACTAGCGTCCAAGCAGAGCAGACTGCTTTCTCTGCCACCCTGGCCTCTATCTGTACAGCATGTGTGGCACTGGGAAATCCCATGGAGTCTGGATGCTATAGGTCTGAGAATATCAAGCCCCACTTGAGAGGAAGCGATTTCTCAGCAGTGGGTTTGAGTCGTCCTCACTGGAAGGCAGAACAAGTCAGTTTAAAGCCCGCTGTAAAACTTCAGACGACAACTTGGGTGGAAGAGAGCACAAAGCTTACATGTATTCCTTAGTCGTGGCAGGCAGACTGCACTGGTGCGTCTTACTATGGAGAGAAAGCCAATTAAATGCCATGGTGTGCTACCTACCAGCAGTCCAAACAGAACAGTGGCAAAGAACCCGCCAATAAAGCCCTCCCAGGTCTTCTTTGGGGAAAGCTGCAGATACAAGAAAGAGAACATATTAAAAAATACCCTCAAGGTCCACCCCAAATAGCTCTGCGAAGCCAATGTCCACCTCCCACAGAAGTTAAATGGCAATCAATATCCCCAGCTCATGAGTTCCAACTGGGTAAAGGCCAATACATGCAGATCGTGGGACAGATCCTCTCACTCGGTCTGACCCTAACTCGCCCATTGGGGAATACCTCTGACAAGGCCAAGTTCCCAGATGAAGGAGAAGCAGGCACATCACCCTGCCTTGCAGCCCCCAGGCAGAGCAGTGGCCAGAATACACTGCAATCTGACTATATTTAAAAGCATTTAATATAATCTTAGCAAGGTACGTATCTGAAATGTTACAACTTCGGGTTATTGGTCAAACATAGAAACATACACACCCTCATTTCAGCCATTAAAAAATAAATAAAAGGCCCATAAAGGGAATGTTTATTAGTCGCTGGGATACTCAACCCACTTCATTAACAGCATCCCTGGAAAAGGTTAGCTTAAGCTTTTTATGGTTTCACCCATAAGGAAAAAAATTAATATAGAGGAAGTTTTTCATTACAATACACTATTCGGTACCATTAGTTTGACGTTTTCTCATCACTATGGAAAGCTGTTCTCAATGCAGACTGTGCTTTTAGTCTAGAATAGTTCTCACTGGCTTTTTCAAGTCAAATATTCAATAACTCCAGCTTGCATTAGCTGCAATAAAGAAGAGCTATTTCTAAACTCCCTCCTCTGATATGTAGTCAGCAAGCCCACACCGCGTTGTACAATGCAAGGAAGAGTCCATGCTCCCAAAGAACTTCACTAGGTAAATAAACTAAACCTTTGTAGGAAACCGTGTCTTTTAACCATTAGCATGCAGAGCTTGGGATGGGGACAGAACTTAAGTAAGGGCCTGATCAGTAGACATTGGATCAGGATCTAAAGAGGTGCAATACAGCACAAATGATACACAAGCCCTGGCAAGTCTTCCTTCATATTCTTCACCAAGGGTCTTTTCAAACAGTGACTGATGGGTGGAAAGTTTTGAGGCTGGGATCCAAACGCAAAGGCGAGCTCCACCACCCTGATCGATTCTCCAACCTTGGGTCAAAGGCTCCACAGCAACACAGAGCCTGAAGACAGGGCTTTGCACAGCTGACAAACCTTGATGAGCGGGGTGCGGCCAAAGAAAAACCCAAACATATAGGCCATGATGTCATTGCAGATCACACATGAAATCGGGACAATGAACCTAGAAGGAAGGAGAGAGAAGCCATTCATAACGGGCACAACTACAGGAGTCATTTGAAGCTTAACTGCAATATGTTGCCCACATTCAGGTAGTGCCCGCTTGGGTAAGTCTGATATGGCCACACCGGGTCAGACTGACACTACTGCAAAAGCCCAGGAGTCATTTGTCCCAAGGCCCTCGCCAGCTGTCAGATCAGTTCTATGAATTTCCCCTTGCTGTGTTCTGCGCTTGCTCTAACGTGCAGTGGGCTGTTAATCAATCACCGTGATTAACCCCAGAAGCAGCTGCATTTCAGGGGTGAGCCAGGTGCTCTGCCATTTGTAAAGCACTTGAGAATGGTTCAGATTGCACACTGTACAGTGTACTACGAGCACGGTAAAGTTCTTTCATTATTGCTGATACAAGAAACAAGGTGATTAAGGATATTGGGCTGAATCCTCCATTGCACTAACCTCACACGCTGGGCAGCAGCGGCAATAAACGGCCAAAGGAGGCTGGTTATAAAGCCACCTTTCTACCCTCTGCCAACCACTCCCCCTTCCTAACACTTGGACCTGGTGGCTGCTTTAAGTTACACTGGCGGCAGCTGTGTCCCAGGGACCACCTCACCAAGCATGACTGGCTGGAGTGCATGCTCTCTGCACCCACCCCCTATTCGAGTTAGGGTGACAAAAGCAGCTACACTAGCTTTATGCCATCTGAGAGCCTTCTCAATGCCAGAGGAATACGCAGCTGCCCCTTTACAGTGGCTTTCTGGCTGCTCTGCATTGACTGAGCAGCGCAAAGCAATCCAAAAAGGGCCTGGCCCATTGTTTGGCTCTCTTATGCAAAGCACGTTGTAGTCCCTTATGGAAGGCACATCCTATCCCTATGCTTGTTGGTTAAAAGTTTTAGTAAAAAGCACTTTAGCAAGGAGAAATCAGGAGAATACACTACGCAACACAAAGCAAAGTCACACGTAACAGGTACCAACTCACCAGATCATTCCGTCAAACAGGTTGTGAATGATGAGGTGCGACTGGGTAACAACAATTAGCAAAGTCACATGGGTCCAACCAAACTGGAAGAGAAAACAGCATGCAGTCCAGTTTGCCTAGAGACATTTTTCGTAACAGCCTATGGCAGAAACCAGACGCCGATGAATACTGTTTGGAGTGGGTTATGTCTGTGTACATCTCAGGCACTCTGATCCCAGGCGGAAACAGCATGATGTAAACACAAAGATGGCAGATAGTATCCCATCCCTTCTTCGGAGTTGAGCAAAGCAACATCTCCATTACCATTCAGAACCTGAGTGGGAGGATGTTTGACATTCCTGGACCAAGTTCCCTTTAGCCCACACCTATCCCATACATCTTAGTCTACTTTGACTAGAGACCTGGAACATAAGAATCCCGATATTGAGGATGGTCCATCTCGTCTGACATCCTGCATCCAGAAGGAAACAAAAGCATCCCAATAAAGGACACAGGTAGCCAATGTGTGCATCACTATACTGTGGTGGGGCCAGTCTAACTCCTGCAGCTGATTCCACCAACACCCTCCAGGCATGAGGTTTGAATAACCTTGTACAATCACCTTAGCTTGCACAGCTGAAAGGGTTACTAAGAAATGCACTGCAAATGCAGACAATGGAATTCACATTTCTAAGGAAATCAGTCAGTTCAAGAGCCAAATGCCAAATACTTCAAGCTGCCAGGAACAGCTTTTCCATTAAGCAGTATCACAACACCCAGGGGACACAGAAGCATTCACAGGCTTCTGTTCTTCTAAACCATATATGCAAACAGCCTCCATCTCCCAAAGCTAATAGCTCCGGAGCAACAAAGCCGTTTATTTAATCTTACCATGTAGAACTGGAGACGGTAATGCTTCTTCACCAGACTCAGGACAAACATGCAGAAGCCTTGTGGGAAGAGAAAAGAAAGAAGAGCAAGATCAGATCGTGCAGTAGTAGGAAATGCCTCTCGATTTTCCATTACATCTGCCGTATCACTGCAGCATCTCTTGATTGTTTCGGCTACAGAACAGAATCAGCAACATGAGGATGATGTGCACTGTGGATGCAAAACGGTTAATTAAAGAATGGAAATTGTTTTTTTTTTAAAAAAGGACATACAGCCAATTAACCATGATCACCCCTATGCAGGTTAGACTGTTTTCTGCCAACAGCTAATCATTTATTCTACCTTTGATCTTCCCACGTAATATCAACTACAGAGTATTCTTCACTTACCTGTTTAATGGCACAGAGTTCTTAATTAGCTGCTGCGTCCACCCAGAGGTGGCTGCATTTACACAGTGATACTCTTTAGATACAGTTTGTCTGCCGGTTAAGTTGTTTGAGTGCTTTAGGGTATCGTGATAACCCTCTTTAGCTCCTAACCTCCCTCTCCCAGTTTTTAACCAGCCCCCGACACCTCACAAATATCCCATATTGCTAGGACCATTGGAAATCTAGCACAGCTCTCAACAGCAAGTGCCGCTCCATTTCTAGGTTGAAGCCCATCCTAGGGATTCATGACTCACAGTGAGCTTGCTAGCTGAGAGAAAACACCTCCACTTAATCACCAGAAAGGAGGAGTTAAAAATAGATCTACAGTTTATCCCGAGTCTGCCTCTGCACAGTTTACACTGACAGGAGAGTTACTCTAGGCCTGGAGCAGCGTTGCTGAATTGCCATGAAAATTTACCAGCAAAGGCAAGAAGTCTACTCACCCTCTCTTTACCCAGAATGAAAAAGAAAAGGATCGTTTACTCACACATCAAAATATTAATCACCCAGGCAAGTGGCAAGTAAAACTTTGCAAGGCTAGCACAGGGGAAAGAAAGGTGGAAATTACAGTTATTCTGCCTAGTCACTGCACAATGGAAGTAACATCAAAGAGGACTGTAGCTTCCCATCTGATGCAGAGGGCGTTTTGGTCACTTACACCGCACAATTAGGCAGGCGTGGATCCAGTTCGTAACAGATGTGTCTGAACCCCAAAAGAAATCATTACAACGGCCACCGAGACATAACTCAAAGCCAACGATCACTCCATCTGCCACAGATGCTTCACTTCTGGCTCATTTCATGGCAGGGGTGAGTCACATTTGGCTTAGAGGTGTGAAGGAAGCCTGGAATGAGGCTGCACATCGCAGGTCTACAGAAAGAGGAATATTGCTCCAGGGCTCTGAGTCAGGCACCTTTCCCTACTAGCACTGCATTCATGAAGTGTGCGCACGCCAGGACTGGAGACTAGGGGAGGCAAAACGAAAGGAGGAGAGGAAAGATCAAAAGCGAGTATCAAGTTCATTTAAACCGAGTCTCTGGAGAGAGTCAGGTATTTACACCAACACCCTACCTAAACCAGACACTGTTTGCTGGGACGGAAGGACAATTCTCAGCAAGGAAAGGAGAACGTGTCTTTCCCCCAGTAAATCAGGCAAGAAAAAGAAACTGAGGAAGCGACAACACTGCTGCTCTCAAACCCAATTATTCCCTATTTTGTAGGCTGTCTTTCACAACAAGGCCATCTTAGATACACAGTAACTGAGCACCTCACAAGCTGTCAGGTAGGCAATTGCTATTATCCCTGTTCTATTGGCGGGGAACGGAGGCATGGGGAGACTAAGTGATTTGCCCAAGGTCAAGCAGGGAACTGAACATGGATCACACAAGCCCTGGGTTGGAACTCTAACCACTGGACCATCCTTCCCCGCACTCGTATTTTGTACGTAAGACAGAGCAAATCCACTGGGGACACTGGAGCCCTACCTGCCTACAGAAAAAAAAAAAAAAAGTTGCATTTCAAGAGGCTGATGACGTAACCTCTGCTCGAAAACAGCAACGAGACAAATTTAACTGGCAGAAACAAATAAAATTACCTGTTAAGTAGAGGGCAAAGGAAATGAAGCGATGGTATTTGCTGAGAATTCTCAAGGGCTCCTCTCGCTGGACCAGGGTGAAAAAGTAATCCGTTACCGTCTCGCCGTAGAAAAAGTAGTTTACACACAGCAGAAAGTACCTGTGGACAGAGCAGCATTCCCTTTAATAAGAACCTACAGGGGAATGGGACATGGTTGACCAGTAGATCATTAGACTACTACACTTAAGAGGTTATCAGCTTGCACTATCTACACTTCGTGCAGGGGGGAGGAGACGCCTGAAGGTTCACATACTGGGCAGCAGAATAATGGTGATTTTTATTTGAAAGTCTGCAGAAAATTCACTCACATTGGGGAGGTGGACAGGAGTAGAGGGTCAAGACCTGATTCTCACTTGCACTAAGGTGGCTCGGGCAGTGTGAAGGAACCTTACTGCACATGTGGGGAGGGGCGGGAATAAAATCAAGCCCTCACATTTCTTCTAATCAAAACATTAGATCTTCATGTAGAAGCCACGGCTCCATTAAATGCAAATACTTGGCTGTCACCCAACCCCTATGTTACGGGAACATGTCAACAGCCCTGTTCAATTTTTGTTTAATATTATGGTACTTAGGAAGCTTTTGCCTTTAGGTGGCACTGCTTAACCGTCTTCTCCAGGTTCCTAGCTACTGGAGGCAGTGCCCCCCCCTCCTTCACTGTGGCACGCCATCAGACGCTGGGTGCAGCCAATACAGTTTCATCCCAATCGCACAAATACATTTCAGTAGGTAAATATCCCAGACGGCTCCCTACACCCTTAGGCCTGAGCAATGCAACGGGAACCACAAGTCAAACGTTTACTCAACGCTTCGCTCAGTAACAGCATTCAACACCACCGCCCGGCACAGATCGGGAGATTCAGACCTTGCTCTCATCAGACAAGCAATGGAACCAAGTGTATAAATATTACAGAAGATGCCCAGTGGTGGCTAGCTGCACATCAATGAGGCGTCAAGTGATTCAGAAGCACTCTAGATGAAAGGCATTATGCACATCGAGAAGGATCATATTGTGCTCCTTGACTCTAATGAAGACCACAGCAGTCGCGCTGCTTACCAGCTGAGGGTCCTGAACCAGGGCAGCTCATATGAGCGATACACATTGTAGCCAATAGTGATAATCTCCTGGAAACACTTGATCTGGACACACATCACCTGAAAAACAAACATTAAGCAGCAGCATCATTCACAGATAAACTAAACCAGGACCAGATAATCTGCAATGGGATGCTAAGTGCATGTAAAAAGTGGGAGCTTTAGACTGACCCTTACAGGAGCCACAAGGAGAATTCTTCTATTGTCTTGCAAGTGACCTCCCCTTCCCCCCCGCACTCCCAAAGCGGACATAAGGGGACTTTTCTCCTAGGCTGAGAAATTGTTCACTTGCTCAACCTGCTTACAGCTAGAGCTAGCAGCTTTCCCTGCCAGGCAAAACACGCTCCTAGCCCTACTCCCTCCATAGCCGTGGGTTGGCCCACTCCAAGAGCTCATAGCCTCACTTTAAGTTATGTTAGCACTTCAAACACTGGTTTTTCTATCATGAGTTCGGGTCAGTTCTGGGAAGACAATCCCGCCTTCACTGGCACTGACAAAAATCACTGTTCATCCCATGCACTCGAGAGGACTGGCACTTCAAGACCACCATGGAGGGAGAGATAGCTCAGTGGTTTGAGCATTGGCCTGCTAAACCCAGGGTTATGAGTTCAATCCTTGAGGGGGCCATTTAGGGATTGGTCCCCCTTTGAGCAGGGGGTTGGACTAGATGACCTCCTGAGGTCCCTTCCAACCCGGATATTCTATGATAAGGGAACATGTCCAGCAGGGATACAGCCAGACTGTAGTTGGTACAGTCTTTACAAATGCAACGAGGCTGCTGGATGGGTTTCCCACAGCAGGGACTGGACCTGGAATCTCTGGATCTAAAAGCACACACCTCTACAACCTGAGTTGAAAATCCTGGATCTGTATCAGCTCTAAACAGACTCAATCCCGAGATAAAGCCACGCCGCAAGCACATATTATACACACAGAGTGCTCAATGGCAGACCAACACTCAACCAGATTCAGCTCTCCACCCACGCACCTGGGCTGCGATAGCAATAAAGGAAACAGGAGGATTCCACCAAGAAGGCACCAATTAAATAGTAATTGTGATGAGGAACCTTATTCCCTGCTGATCACTGAGCAGAACAGCAATTTGACCAGCTTTCGGTCGTGACCAAACAGGACCAGGTTAGCGCTAGGAACCTCGAGGCAAAAGGCTCTGTGTATCCATTCACTTTTCTCAGCCATCTAGGTCCCTGACAACCATTCTCCCATAACGGCCCATTTAACAAAGGGTTTTGAAACAGCACTTACAATCATCATTAAAACCATGGGTCCCAGGTAGATGATGATGAAGAAGAACGCAATCATTGCCAGAGTGAGGATCCCTCTGACCCACCAGTTCTTCCATCTAGATCACAGGAAGAGAAAAGCGAACGTTAGGCAAAGGGCCTATCTAGCAGGAAAGCAGTGAGAGATGCACTTATTATCTCTTCTTCACAGCCTCCTGGTGAAAGGCGGAAGCAGGAAACTGTGGCGTATCCTTAGCTCGGGGGCGGTGAGAATGTCATGCCATTCCATTAACCCAGCTCTGGTGCCGAGAGGAATGCAGGTAAGCTCAAGCTCACACGGCGGCCATTTGGGTAAGCTCAAGAAGGGAGCTCCATGCTGGGGGACAGCACGGAAGGCGCTGAAGATTCGTTTGGGGTGAGAAAGTGACAAATGAAGGTGGCAGGGAGTAAATAGGAATAGACAGTTACAGGGCCTTGCCTAGTCTGAATTAGTTTTGTAGGAGTATTTTGCCCATTTTACAGATGTAGAAATGGAGATAAAGAGTTGCACCAAATCACACAGGAATGGCATAACTGAGGTTCAACCTCAGGAGCCCCAACATCTAATACCTCCTCAGTCCACTAGGCCACGCTGCAAAGAAACCTCTCAACGATAACTCTCTAAATCTGCTGAAATAAAAGGACTGTACCACAATTCTGCCAAAGAAAAGCAAGCTCAACACCAAACTCGCTCAGCCAGCCCCAAAGCTCTCTCCACAGGCTGAGAGCAGGAACAGAATACAGCAATTTTAGCCAAGCCAGTCCCTCCAGAGCGGTCAGTTACCCATGAGGTGTGTTGCTCCTGTCACCATCTACTGATGGGATAGAACATCCTGCCTAGGTTGGTTAAATAGTGGTTAGTAAAAATAAAATAAAAAAAAAAATATTTAAATCTGATTTCTTTGATAAAATGCTTTTTGAGGAAAAAACTTATCTAAAGTTAGTTTTAGATAAGATATATTATAGCTTAAAGATCTCTCATCATGGAATAGGGATTATAAATTCTAATTCTATAGTATGAGACAATATATTCATGAAATGTTTAAGAAAAGTTCCAATAGTTCATGGATTAGGGACCCAATCTTATGGTGTTCCACAGGCTTCTGTATAGATTATTTAGGTTCATCTTTCTATCTACCCAATGGGACTCAGTGCTTAGTCTACTCTAGAAGATACCATCAGAGATGCTTAGTTTTGCAGTTCTCAATCTGTCGATTTGTCTCCAGAGGTAACACGCTTGTTAACAGCAAAAATGTTTTAAAATAAATAAATAATATATAGAAGTGAGAAATAACAGACCTCAACTCTATTGTCCCTCTGCAAATTTGTGTACAGAGTCAATCCCTTATCTTTCTCTAAAAGTGCAAAGTTTCAAAAAGTTCAATGAATAGAAGATTGTTGGGGGCAGAATACATCTGGACAAAGAGAAGAAGTCTGGAGATAAATGTGAGAAGTGAGGGACATATGCTTGTTTTGTTAAAATATTATATGTTTGCTGTTGAAGAAAAAAATCCAGAATACTTAACGTGGTTGTTTTAGTTAAATAAAACAATTTAAATGTCTGTCTGGTGATGTTCTCCTCCTAATACAGCATGGCAAGAAAATCCTCCGAATATTAATGATTAACCTGTTGAATTGGAGATAATTCACCTCCCAATGACTTCATGAATATCTGCTTCAATTACCTTTGGTCAATGAAATAACCAAACAATCATTCATTTTCTGATATAGTTGTAAAACTCATCTGAAAAGTTTTCAAAATAAACCACTGTTTAAAAATGTATAGTGTGTACCTTTAAAAAAACAACAACCCTATATCTATCTCTGAGTTGTGAAGAATATGTATTAAGGTTATAACAATCAACCAGAATGCACTTTTATGTAGAAATCTGTGATTAAATCGAGTCTTCCTGACTAGTGATTTAAATCAAATCCGCCCTCATTAGTAAAAAGGGAAAGTGCACCAATTTGCTAGGAGCCCCAGAAGCAATGGAGAAGTTTTATTTAATGCTACCTTGAAGATAGGTTGGAGAGGGCCCTGTTTAAGACCTCAGGAGTGTCATCTGATGTACGTGCAGGAGGGGCCCCTCCAAACTCTGATTTGCTTTCGCTGTCCGATGCGGTCTCTCCATCCAGCTTGTTTTCTGACTCAGACTCCTGCAGGACAAACACAGGCAAACAGTTGTATCAGATACCGGTGATTGTTCTTTTGATCTTAATTTAAAAATGCACTAGATCAAGTCAGTCCACCCTTATTCCACTCTTTATTTCCTCTCAGCACAGCCTGTAGCTAAAAGGAAAAGATGGCAAGATATTCTGGGCACAAACTGGCTTACTTCATTGACCCTGTTCTTGTTTGTGAGCCAAACACTTACGTGATAGAACCTATGGGGCAGAACCACCTGCAACTGAAGCCAATGGAGGTTTTACTATGGACTTCAAAGAGAAGGGGTCCTTTTTTGTATCACCAAAGGTGCTTTATAGTTGTTCTAAAGCCTGAACGATGCACCAGGGGTCACGGGTACATGGGTTTGTCAAGAGGTGTTTGGGAACCCCAGGTGGGTCTCTGAGTAAGCAGTAACTCACAGAATTCGAGTCAAAGGTCTCCAGAAAGATGGGGAAGACTTGTGCTTTTGGAGATTGTTCTCTGTACATTTCTATGCACTGGCTTAACTCATGTGCACTAAAATTAATGCCAAAGAAACCCCCAAAACGCCAAGCAGGAAAAACACAATGTCCATAAGGAAGAATGTCTCATCATTTAAACCTGACTGTCCCTTTAAGCCACCGCAGCACCCAATATCCAGGACATGTACCCAATGCACCACCCAATCTGTATTAGTGCAACACCCAGCTAAGAGCAGAGCCCCACTAAGCTAGGTGCTGTACAAACACACAGTAAGAGCTTATCACCAAAACAGGCAAGATGGACTGGGTGGGAGGGGAAACAAAGACTAAAGGAGATTTGCACAAACGGCAGAACCAGGAACAGAATTCTGGCCGGCATTCTGACTCCCAGTCCAGCACCCTGGTCACTAGGCCACACTGCTTCTCTTCAGTCCTTTATACATCAAACAGCAGCAAAGAGAAAGATTTTGCCTTCTGCAAGTGACCGTTAGCAGCTCAGTTTAGTACGCTACATTCCAAGGCCTGGTCCACACTACCCCCCCACTTCGGACTAAGGTACGCAAATTCAGCTACGTTAATAACGTAGCTGAATTCGAAGTACCTTAGTCTGAACTTACCGCGGGTCCAGACGCGGCAGGAAGGCTCCCCCGTCGATGCCGCGTACTCCGCTCGCCGAGCTGGAGTACCGGCGTCGACGGCGAGCACTTCCGGGATCGATCCGGGATCGATTTATCACGTCTAAACCACACGCGATAAATCGATCCCAGAACATCGATTGCCTGCCGCCGGACCCTCCGGTAAGTGTAGACGTACCCTTACTGTGCAGTGTGCGCCTATAATTATGGCTAAGAATTATGTCACGGAGGTCACAGAATCGTGACTATGAGAGACCTCCATGACATTTTCCGCTTCAGCAGGAGGTCCCTGCAGCTCCTGGCTGCCGTGGGCGGCAGGGGGGACCCCAGAGCCACAGCAGTGGTGGGTGCTGGACCCAACCTCCCTATTTTGTCAGTTATTTTAAGTAAAAGTCAGGGACAGGTCACGGCTTCCGTGACTTTTTGTTTATTGCCTGTGACCTGTCCCTGACTTCTACTAAAAAAACAAAACACCCCATCACACATGACAAAAATCTTACCCTTACCTATAACATCCACACTTCCGTGTCGAGTGGCAAGTCATGCCCAAGTCTCAAGTCAGCCCCCAGAGCCCAACATGTGCTAATTTTAAACCTCCCCAATGGGAGTGTGTTTTCAGGAAGTGCAGAGAGGGACCTAAGTCAGCAAATGCGGTCAGCTTTGTCAAACTTAATCTCCCTGGGCTCCTGCAACATTCCAGTGCTCTGCGATAAGACAGCGCCTGGAGCTGGTCCAGGAGAAACTCCCTGGTAAACTAGAGGTCGGGCCAACACACATTTAAGTGTATCTGGTTTAATAAAATCCCGCAGGAACAAAAGCAAGATCCTTGTTCAGTCTCCCTAAAAGCAGGGAAGGATATTGGCCCTAAGACATCAGGTAGCAATGGCCACAAGCCAGATTCCTACAGACAAGGACAACCAGGCTGTCAGAGCAGTATTTTTAGCCACTTCCATCCGTTGCCATGGGGGGGGACATACCGACACCATTTCCTGGGGTGAGTGACCTATGGAATCAGAACAAAGCCACACCCCCAAACCTCCCTGTTGTACTGTATACCACAAAGAATTTGCTCAGTCTTGGGGGGAGGGAGGGTTTATTGTTCTTGCTTCTGGACTTTATTCCAAAATGAATAGCAAAAGCAAATAGGAACGTGAAATAAATCTGGATTTATGTGCTGAATACCCTACAGGACAGGTTTGGGGTGCATTCAGCAAAAAACAGTTAAACATTTTAAATTTGTTTTTATTTATCCTATGTAAAGTCCGCTGGCTCCTCTAGGCTTCCAGGAGTGACAGTACTACAATCAATAATCTTATATCAGATACATGCCTCCACGCAACCAATAATTCTTTGAGTCTTCAAGTACAACAGAACTTCAGAGTTATGAACACCAGAGTTATGAACTGAGCAGTCAACCACACAGCTCATTTGGAACCAGAAGTATGCAATCAGGCAGCAGCAAAGAAAAAAAAAAAAGCAAACAGTACAGTACTGTGTTAAATGTAAACTACTAAAAAAAGAGGGAAGTTTAAAAAAGATTTGACTTGGTAAGGAAACGGTGCTTGTTTCACTTAAATTAACATGGTTAAAAGCAGCATTTTTTTCTGCATAGTAAAGTTTCAAAGCTGTATTAAATCAATGTTCAGTTGTAAACTTTTGAAAGAACCACCAGAACGTTTTGTTCAGAATTACAAACAACCTCTGAAGTTCTACTGCATCCAAGTCGTTCTAGGACATCACATGCTGTGATGTCACTAGCTAAAAAGCAGGTGGACTGAGCATGCTTTGGACATGCAGGGAAAGGATGCTAAACCTGGACTTCTGTTGAATCCTTCCCCCACTAATTAGGCTGACCAAGTTATCCTTATTTGAGAGAAGGCTCTGGAAAGAGATCACAGGCCAAAAAAAATCGTTTCACTGTAGCTCAAGTATAGTACCCATATGGCCTCTGGGAAAGCACTGCTTTATAACTCTATATGGCAATATTCGGGGAATCGCAAGATAACTAATCTCTGTGCCCCTTACAGCAATAGGCAGCTTTGTTCTTGTGCCAGTGATGGAAGCGCACAGATGCACTAAACCAGAAGAATGGTCTTTTCCGCATGGATACTCATGAGTCCTGAAACTTAGGATGGCACTTTGCCTACTTCACTCCAGATGGCATGTGATCTTCCCACGCTGCACCTGCTACTCTACCTAAGCGCATCAGGTTGAGATGAATACCACCAATCTAGAGAGGTCAAACATATTAACTTGTAAAAACCTTAACCCTACCGTATTTTATTTATTGTGCATTCTGCACAGCCACCTCTAACACAGAGCCTGTGCTTACAGGCTGGGCACTGAAAGACTGAACATTTTGTGGTTAAAGAAGGCGACGTGGCCCCGAGGAGCTTCAGTTTTCACCCATTTGCAAAGTGGGTGAAATAATTCTTAAGTGCTTCCGAGGGGGTGGTGAGGTTTAATGTTTGCGAAGTGCTCAGAGACTAAGAGAAAAGGCACCACAGATGTGCAAAGTAACGCTTTTATGCTTTATTTTCTGGGCCTGGGTTGGGAGGGAGAGAGAGATGGGGCAGACTGGATGGCTCAGGCAATGTCATCTTCAGTCTCGAGGGTATAGGTTCAACTCCCACCCAGACTGGCGGATGGTTATTTAAAACAGGATATGAGATTGTGGTCATTCTGCATTTTCCTGTTCTCAGCATGGGAGATTTCCATAGAATTCTCCATCTGGATCTTGCCATCTATCCCTCCCCCCCACCCCCGCCAACAATAATCTCTGGCTGACAGCAATAAAGCAGAGTGTTCCCTCTGAGTGAGGATTAGGACAAAGTAGTCCGTGGGAAGGTATTCTGCCTGTGGACAAAGCACTTAGTCTGGAGTACCTTTCAGGAGCAATAATTTATTATGCGCACACCCAGGCCTGACTTTTCAAGATGTCGATCACCCCGGTTCTAAGATCTTACCAGACGAGAGTACAAAAAAAGGCAGCCAACAGAACCCTGAACTGAAAGGGACACTGAAGGTACATTGCTAAATTAGGAATAATTTCTGCAGTGTGTGTTGACTGTTCCATTTGATCCTGACAGGCACTGGAAGAAAAGAATTTTCCCTGCTGGGAAAGTCACCAGTCAAGCTGACAGACAACATAAATTAGGTTTTCTTTTTAAAGCCACGGTGTCAGAGCAGCACTGCTCCCATGCTAATTCCTCTCTGAAACGGAGCTGGGATTATATAGGACATTATAGTGCATAGTAACGTGGGCTAGGGTGGTAAGAGACTCAGTAATTTTCCATTATTTTTATACCTTATGTAAATTGCAACCATCCCTCAGCAAAACACTGGTTTAAAGCAGCTGACCAGGGTGCTAAATAACTTGCTGTTTAGCCGGTGAATGATGTGCTGTGGTCTGGTCTGCTTAATCCAGCTGTGGAATTGCCATGGTAACAACCTCGTGTGTTGCAATTACTTTCTTGACAGGCAGCAAACAAAGCAGACAGAGCCTTAGACAGTTTGGTAAAGGATGATCATCAGATATTAATACATCTTGCATAAAACTGGTTGGTCACAAGAGGCAAAACAACCTACAAGTAGCACAGATGATGTTAAATGATACAGACACAGAGGAATGACAGGTAGAAAGATATGTCCATCGATACTGGCCTGTGATTGTAAGCATTGATTTTTAGGTGACCGAATTAAAAAAAAATCCAGCCACATATGTCTCAGGTAATATTGATGTCAGCATAAACTCAACACCTTTTTTTTTGGGGGGGGGGGGGGAATCCCAAAAAGCATTTCAATTTGGACACCCTCAGAGGGCATTCTGTAAAGTGTTGGCTTAACTTTCTTTAGTAATAAACACAGGTAATCTGTTAGAGTTTGGAATCACAA